CATTATATTATATATTTAGAGTCCTATAAACTTTTACCGAAACTGAAAACTAATTCTCATTACTTGTCAGTTTCGACTGAAACCATATAGCTCTTCTTGATAAATATTAATTTTAATATGTGTAATTATTGAAACAATAATTACACATATATACCATTATTATTAATAATTAAATTGTTGATGTTTATGAAGAAGTACTTACCCAGACAAACAAAAAGTATCTAAAATCGGGCCATAAGACGTTTTTTGCGTTTAAAAGACGACTTATGTCACAATTTTAGACTTTGTGTTGTTTGGGTATATTCTTTGACCAAAATTGACTCACAACCGAAATTTCGGTTTTCGATTTCGGCCGAAATTTAATTATTGTTTCAATAAATTATGATATTTATGAAAAAAAGTATACGATATATGCGCCTGTCTATACATACATATGGCCTTTATAGGATTCCTATTTTTTAATTTTGATTTCGGTTTCGGTTGAAATTGACGTGTAGCCGAGTGTTTCGGTTTAATTTCGGCAAAAGTTTCGGTCGGACTCTATATAATTTTATCATATATGATATAATAATATAATTCAGAATAGATTTAAAAATTTTAATATTTTTATAATTTGCACTAATGCGCGGATCGCGCAAAAAATCATTCCGAATAACTAAAATGCTTTATTTGCATTGACAAAATAGAACGATTTCAAAACGCTGCACAACAGTAATGCAGTCCATGCATAATAAAGTAAAAATAATTTTCGAAAAAAAACCTGTATTTCTAAAACACGTGAAGGTTAGGTTATTATAGTCATTTTTTAAATGAAAAGAATTTTTTTCATTCAATATGATTTCTCTAATTATTCTGCATATAAAAGTATCAAGGTGAAGATATCGAAAAATCAATAGTTTTAGAGTTACTTTATACATTAATCTGGCACGTATTAATATGTAATATTTCTTGCACGGAGTAATAAGAAGGAGACCAAGCTCAAGCGATCGGTCATGAAAAAGCTGGGCTCGAGAAACACGGTGTCGGAAAAGCGCTGTATAGAAGAACTGATCCGAGCGCGCCTGTCGGAGAAAACTGTGAACTAGGGTATTTTTCAACAAGTCGTATTTCGTATGCGCGCGAAAACGTGTTACGTCGTATTAAGTGTTTGTGCATAAATTGTGCGTAAATTTCTTGAGCTTCCATAATTACAATTTGTCAATAGACTTTAAAAGCTCCACAAATTGTTCTTTACTAATAAGAATAATATTTTCTGATATCGTCAACATACACTTTCACAGATAAATCATTAAATACAACTACTCTTTTTGAGATAAAAATATTATTTTCTACTTTTTGAAAAACAAAGAAAGACTCATTTCCCTTTGTAAATGCCCAATTTTTACATGGCAATTCTGTAGTGTGTAACTGATTCTGCAAAAATTTAAAATTAAAATAGTTTAATTTTGCCATTCTTCAATCTGGATCGACTTGAAACGACTAAAAGATCCAAAATTATGTCGACTTGAATAAATCTTATGTCCTGCCTGCAAAAATATTTTGTACATGTAATTTAATTTTGTAGTTTTTTAAGATGTATAATTACCACATGTAACAAATTTACTTCAAGTTACATAGTAATTACATATAATATTAAAAACTTACTTTATATATTAATAATGAACTGATTCACTCCTTTTATTAATTCTGTTTATTATATATTAGGTGTACAAAAAAGTTCTGAGCTTTAGATTTCATACAACCGAAATAACTATTTAAATTTTATATATCTTCCCGCCCTTTTGC